TCGCAGTCTCAGAAACCTGCAGGGGCAGGTCTACCCTGTGCTATAGGGCCACTATGCGTCCGCCTCGATTCCACAGCAGTGAGTTTGGCCGAGCATTGCGAGAGGTGGAAGAGAAAGCCAGGTGCTGTGGAGTGGGCAAGGATTAGATTAGGGGAGACCATGACCCCAAAACATGGAAGTTCAATCCAAAACACCCAAACCATGTGCTGCTGGGTCGACTCTGACTTGTAGCAACTATGTAAGTCCAAGTAGACCTGCCCCACAGCATCTCCAAGGCTGAAATCTTGACAGAAGCAGACACCCACCCCGTTCTTCAGAATAACTGCTGAGTTCCAACCCAACTGTGCTGCCGGGGTTCCAAATTGCTTTCTATTCATGCTGCTGGCAACACACACACACACACACACACACACACACACAAATGCACACACAAATACACACCAAACCAGTTGCTGCCCCGGAGCCTCAAGTGACTCATGGCAACCCTAGGTGTGTTAGAGTACAAGGGCTCACTCTCTAGGGTCTCCAGTGGCATGTGACTTTTGGGAAGCAGAGCATCAAGGCCATCATTCCAAGGCAGGCGAATTTGAACTTCCAACCTAATGGTTAGTACCCAAGGATGCAACTGTTGGTACCAGTCCAGGACTCCGGTGCTTAAAATAAGACAACTTGGGGACAGACCCTCACGAACAGTTCCAGGGAGTAAATGAATCTCGGGGTTCAGGTTCGCTAAGTCAAAAGCCCCTGCATAACTTCCAACAAGGACCTAACACCGTGGTAATGGCTTTGGGAGGGAGAGTGGGTGGGTATTGTGAAGGTTTGGACAGGAAGATGGAACGAGAGCCTGCATCTTCCCCGCTGGCAGAAGTGCAGTTGTATTGATTACTTACCTTCCCTGCCAAGCGAGGAGGTGGAGCATTCATTTGGGCCTTCACCTGAGCTGAGCCAGGACATGGGGCAGGCTGGTAGGAGTGGTGAAAAAGTAGAGCCCAAGGTTTTACAGGCCACCTGCCCACCCTGGGACAGCCATGGTGTCATGCAGTCTTGTCAAGCTTGGCCATAAATGATTCAAAAGATGAACTTTCTTTGATAATAGCAACTCAAAAGATTAGGTAGGAGCCTTCTGGGGCCCTGAGCCAGTGGCAGAGAGGAGGGAGGACAACTTCTAAAAGGAGATGACACACCTGGAACACCATCATCAGCATCACTGCTCTGTTCAGGTACTCGCTGTTGAGTGGGTGTGAGGTTTCTTGTGCAGATACTCGATGACAAAGTAAACACTTGAAAAGGTAAAACGAGGAGCTTTGGGCTACTTGCTTTGGGACACTCGTGCAGTGTCATTAGTGCCCCCGTGCCTGCCATCTTGGTTGTCCATCTTTTCAGCCACCTAACTTCGTTTTGAATTGCCGGCCTTGCGGATCACAGCCCAGCTTGCAACCATTACACCAAAGAGACAGAAAATTAACACCGTGGCTGCCGCAGTGTTCGAAAGGTCTCTTGAGCCATAGCCTTCAGTAGATGCACCGTTTGCCTTGTTGACACAGTTTATTGTGCTTGAACACGAATTCAACAAATATTTACTTAGGCCTCCAAAGGTCCAGGTGCTGGGCAGCCGAGGGAGTAAAAAGGGATGTATTGGTAATAAGAGGGATGCGAGTTTGGCTTGCCTGTGATGTCCCATTTTCATTATCGTAACAGCCCGTCTACACAGATATCAATAGTGTCTTCATTTCATACTTGAGACAGCTTTAGAGAAGGGGTACCATCCCTGGTCACACAGCGAGTGACGGGCAGCTCCTGGCCTGGATCAGGGCTGCTGGTCTCAGGGCTCTTGAGCTCCAGGCTGGGGTTCCTCCATTCAAAGACCTTATCTTGGACCCTTCCTACCCTTTGACCACTCTTGGCTTCTCCAGAGTCCCAACCAGCTGCTGTCGGGCCAGTCCAGAATCTTCATGGCCCACGTGTGACTTGGGTAGAGCTTTGTTCCATCAAGTTTATTTGTGTGTGTTTAAATTGTTTTTTTGTGGGTGGATAAATGTTTTGCAGAGCAAATCAGCTTTCCAGTCAATAGTCCATACACATTTGTTTCATCTGATCTATGGTCATCCCCACCATCTCACGTCTCTTAGCCTACTTCCTCCCTGTTTCCACTTTCATTCTTCCTTGTCCCCTAACCCTTCGGAACATTATCCTTGCATGAATCCTTTCCAATGATGATTATTGGTCCCTTTATAGCCTTACCTGTTGTTTAGCTAAAAATGGAGCCATGGTGGTGAGTTCATTTCCAGACCTGAAGGGTGACCAAGGACCACGGTCTTGGGGCCCATAGGGCTTTTGATGGCTGAAGTGGGTGGCCAGGTCTTTCTTGAACAGTTCCTCTGGATGGCTTGGAAATGCTAGCCTTCTTGACCGTTTGAATCACCCAGGGAATCGCCCTTGGCCTAGCGTCAGGAGACTACACAGAACCTC